CTCACCCGATACTCCTCTGCATATCTCAACCTGATCTGCCCTGCATATCTCACCTGATGCCGCTCTGCATATCTCACCCGATACCCTCTGTACGCCTCACCCGATACGCTCTGCCACGGCCTCACTCTGATACTCTCAGCATATCTCACCGATACTCCATGCATATCTCACCCGATACTCCCTGCATATCTCACCTGATGCGCTCTGCATATCAGATCCAGGTCGTGCTTGTGCAGAAACTTGGCGACAAACCTCCCGGCCGAACGTGAAAAGACACACCGCGATCGTTCTCTCCCCAGCCCATACACCTCTTGTCGGAGCGGACCAGAGCAGGTCGCAGAGCAGGCCCTGCTGTCCGGCACGTCCGTCGGCCGCATGATCGCGAATCTGCTCCATCGACTGCAGGTCCGGACTCAAGCCTGCAAGCGAGCATGCACGCAGCGCATCGCACGGTCATAGTGCCACCAGGTTCTTTTATACATAAGAGGCACAGTGGCGACTGCCATTGTCAAATTTAACATCGTCATGTGAAAATGTTCCTGTACTTAGTGACAAGTATAATCCTGTATCTATGTACCTATAAGTATATCAATACATCCTGTATTTGAATCTATCATACGTGTGCGTTTTTTTCCCAAACTGGCCATTACCTCCTTTGTCAATTTTCCCTCAGAAGAACCCTGGTCACTAACATGCTGCCAGTAGCAGGAAGCAAGGCAAAAGATCACGCGACTGAAACCCCGAGATGTAATCTATTATTAGCTCCCACGGTCACCTTTGTCTATTGACAGTCTAACTTCTAAGCCAGCTACTGCATTTGGTTGTGGCTGTACATTGCTGCTACACTGGGAGATATAAGTTTAAGACCAACACCCAGGATGATGAGCTGACACTTTTTGAATTTTACACAGATTATTAAAGGAAAACTTCAATATAGACTAATGCGGTGATGCAGCGTACGCCTAATGCGGTGATGCAGCGTACAGCCTTATAAACATTCTCAGAGTATTCTCATGCCTTTAGCTATATCTTAGAGATGAATTAAATTAAATTGTAGATTAAGATCTAATATATATTATTGAATCCCGCTCACCTCCATGGCAGCAGAAAATCTTTTCGTCCACAATAGCTGATACTGGTAAACAGTTGAAGCAGTCCGTAAATGTCTTCCACAATCTTATGTTGTAGCGTCTCTTGCCTATTGGGCAAAAACAAAAATCTTAAATTACTCTCAGAAATGTTCATTCTCATACAACGTACTAAACGCAAGAAACGTGTTAGTATACGACTATAAACTCCTAAAATTTACGGCAGGCTACCGGCGCGCAAATCCATTTTGAAATGGGGGGGGGGACACCAGTAGCGAGCACACGAAGGGGGGTCTGGGAAAAATTTCACCGAAAATTTTTGAAATTAGGCCCCCTCAGATGCGTTTTCTATTCAAACAAAAGGCAGCTACTAACGCGCTATTGCTAACTCGGCGAGGCATCTGGCTCGCTGGGAGATTAGGCATCAACACTCGGCGAGATAACCTTTGACCGCGGTACACAGCTACATACGCGCGTACAGCAGCCCCACTGCACATACCTGGCATGCCCACGCACGCATGCCAACCGCAATCAGCAGCAGCTGATCGGGCTCAAATCTCCCAGCGAGCCACATTGCCTGCCAAGTTAGCAATAGCGCGTTAGTAGCTACCTTTTGTTTGAATAGAGGGGGGCAATAGGCTTGGATTGATGGCCAAAGAATGGATAATCGTGTCGTACGTTTTAGTCTGTATCTCCGGATTGCTTGTGTAAACGAGGAAACGATTTCGCACGATGCTAGGCGAATGTACTGTGTACGATTTGAGCTCAAGTTGGATGAGTTACGCGTAGTAAATCGTAGGTATTATAAGGCTAAGTAAATGACGAATTTCCCTTGTTTATTGATGTCACACTCCTTCCCTATTATCTACTCCTGTATATATATAGGGTCGGCCCTAATAATCCAGATGAGACGGGATACTAGAGAAGCGTTGCCGAAAGGAGGTGTTGACCCGAAGTGCTGAGCGCAGATCTTGCGCGCAGTTCCGCGCAAGGCGCACGCGACCGCGGGAACGTCCTACGACAGTATGCAGCGCTGGCAGTATGCATCCGTGCGCCGAATGCTTAGGCCGGCGCACGCATCCATAGCTGCCAGCGAACAGTCCACAATTTTAGTGGGGGACACAGAGGGCAGACATTTGGACGTGAACAGTGTTCACTTGTTATAAAAACATAATGTCTCTGTTCGTAACCGAGCTGTGTCACGCGAAATCACAGAAAGACTGACGAAATTTTCGCGTTCGCGAACCTTGCCCAGTAATGGAAATGGCTGCAAGGACAAAGGCTATATAGACTGGGACTTGCTCCCACCTCGATTACCCATCGAGTGACTAAGCTAAGCCGAGAGGTGGAGCGAGTGCCAGTCTATGGGCTATAGGCGGCGCGCAGGCGGCGCACTGCTTTCCAACTCCCGTACGAGCCTCGCCATTGGAACGTTGCAAAAACGTTGCAGTGTTGCGCTGACAGCCATTTCCATTACTGGGCAAGGTTCGCGAACGCGGAGAATTTCATCAGTCTTTGTGTGATTTCGCATGACACAGCTCGGTTACGAACAGAGACATTATGTTTTTATAACAAGTGAACACTGTTGTTCAAGGAGAAACAAAGATGGAAGCTGTTGAATGTGTATTCGTGCTGTGAAAGTTTCAAATGAAGTGAGCGTCGAGGCGAATTGGCAGCACGCTTTCCTACCTGCTATATATATTAGTGTAAGCGTGCAACAGTCGCGCCGCGAGAGCAATGGCAGCGCCAGCGTACGTTGGACGTAGGATTTCGACGGAATTTACAGGAAACTCGGCAATTAAGGTCAAAGAGAGTAGGCCTATGGCTATAGAAAACATGAAGAAGTTGGTAGTAAATAGATTTCGTATTTAGTTAGCATTATATTTTATTATATTTAGTAGGAGTACTAGTAACACTAACAGGAGTCGTCATTATTAATATTAGTAACTTACTAGTACCGGTAACACAGTTTGTCATTATTAGCTCCTGGTAGTAACTAGTACTAGTACTAGTAGTCCTGGTACTTAGTAGTACTAGTAGTACTTACTAGTAATTATTGTAACATGTACTTGTAGTAATAGAAGTATTCGTAGGTGTGGATACAATTCGATGCTCGCATTGGGGGATCGTGTTAGATATCATATATATATAGGTGCCTGTAGAATCACGAGGCTGTACGAGTCGGAGCACTCCGGAATTTCACGTGAATTCTTACGGAACACTTACAGTTCAAGCTTCCCACTGTTCACAGTTTAGGCACTTCTGCCACCATGTTGAAATCTTTAGTTTGATGAGGAGTGTAACTATGCAGAGATACAATAGCAGATAAGAGTGACAATGAAACTAACTGTAAACTGGATTTATTACGAATAGCGAAGACATGTTGTATTGTTCCTATATATCGGATCCTCTAAACTCAGCCAGTCAACGCTACGCATGAGCGCTATATATTGTTACAATGTGAACAAAAAACTCCGTTATACAGCAAAGAAAGCGCGCCTAGTAGCGAACAAAGAATTGGGAGCATATCTAGCCAGTCTACCTAACTGGGTAGTGGGATCCCTCGTGCAATGGGCAGAACTGCTCAATTCAGCGAAAACCCGGCTTTCACCTATACCTAGAAAGGACCTGAGCAATGGGGTTGGGAAGAGGGCAGCGAATTCGCAAAAGTGCGCCGCTAGGGCGGCGTTTGAGCGCTTCGCGCGGATATCCGGCTGCAGATCGTCTAGGGACGGTCGGTCGACCGGAAACACCTATTTTTTTGTTTGGCCTTAGCATTCATAATAATGAAGACACACACAATAAGACAGATGAATGTGATCCCCCCCTCCTTGGAATCCTAGACCCGCCACTGAACAATTACATATCTTGGGAGCAAAGAACAATGAATAAAAATGTCGCCTTTTCGCATGGTGCCCAAAACAAAGATTGCAGAGCTGAGAGGTAGAGGAGCCGTAGGGTGTGGAGAGGGAGGCGGAGGAGCCAGTAAAATATTTAGTCATCCACTATTTTGCGCAGTTCGCTGTTTTTGGCCCCCCTTGTTAAAAAATCCTGGCTACGCCACTGTTTGTGTGTGTTTTCTGATTATATTATTATGTGATTGAAAATAGGAGTTTTGGGGATATTTTTTGGGACAACCAGAAATTGTTGCGGACAACCCGATTTGATGCCTGGGGTGTCCAGGACAACCACATTTTTTTTCTTATTTCGAGCACTGTGCAGTATCCCTGGTTTTATTTCGATTATTTTTAACTAACAAACAGATGCCATTCCTGTGGCTCTAAGAGTATTTCATTTTAAAAGAAAATCTCGTGAATAACCTAACATCAGTTAGGTTCAGTTCAGTTAGTTAGACGATGTTCAAGTGGCAAAGTTTTTTGGGCAGAATAGTGTGAAGTTGTTAACACTATATTGTCAGCAAGTTGACTCTACTGACGCTCAACTACATTCAGTGACTGATCTTTTGATTTCGATGACGCTTGTAGCAGAAATGAATTTAGGAAAAGGTTCCGGTTCCGGCCGACTGTTCCTGAAGGGTTCCGGCCAGAACCAGAACTCTGAAAAATTGGGGCCGAGCCGGCCGGATCCAAGTTCCGGTGCACCCTTACATATCACTTACATTCATCGTAAAACCCGTATATCCTATTGATGCTCGCACACTCATGATTCCCTCTGAGCAGGAAGAAATTCTCCGGGTATTTGATTTTGTATGCCAATAGCAGACAGATGGTCTCCAGTGACTGCTTCCCTCGATCCACGTAGTCGCCGAGGAACAGATAATTGCTCTCCGGTGGAAATCCGCCATATTCAAAGAGCCGCAGGAGATCATAGTACTGGCCATGGATGTCGCCTAAGAGGTGAGGAGTTCAATTGTAAACTGGGTCAGGATAACAGAATAAGTCATTATCACCTATTTCATAGGGAAAAGTACTGAAGTTTCATGCTTGCTATTTTCTAGGCGGATAACGCATATGTAAGCAATAAACAAACAGGACAGTAATCTGCACATTTTGGCTGAATTTATTTTTACATTCCGAAAAGTAATAAATAAAAATTATTTATAGTGTATCACATTCGAAAGAATTTCATATTAAATCCCTACCGCATATTTTTAATGGTGCTTCCAGCTCTAGCAGAATAGGTTGACTAAGAAATATTTCCCTGGACTTCAGACAGAGTCCTCGAATCTCACCCTCTGACAGCTGAACATTCTTTCCTGGACGCGTTCCTCTCACTAGACAAAAGGGAAAGACAGAAATAAGTAATCATCATCCGCTATCAATATTACTCTGCAAATTACACTGTATAGATGTGGAAAGGAAGACAAGATAATTTAGCCTTGCGTAACAAAAGGATACTGTGCGATCTCATACATCGCAGCAGATCAGTGCCAGTGTGACTAACACCAGGAGAGTCTCGGTACTATTTCATCATGGGATTACTCACATTCCAGGTGTTAATTCTTTTCTCCAAAACGTTAAAAACAGTCAAGTAAATTATGCTCATGAATGCACTTCCTACTTAGAGGATAAAAACATTGTCAGTTCATGAAATAACATTTTATTCAAGAATAACCGTATGCTACCACAATGACTCATCTGTTAGTGTTACGAATTTAGATAATTATAACTTATAAGCATTATTATAAGATTGTAATGGCTATCACAGGTACAACATACAGGTAGCTCCAAGAAACGGTCTTGCTAGGGTTAGAAGACCGTTTCAAACATTGGCTGCAGCTAAACACGTAGTTGCCTAATTTGCCAAGTATCAGTGTTGTAGGTCTCGAGGCCGGTCTTGGCCTCGAGACCGTTTTCCTTGGTCTCGGTCTCGGTCTTGGCCTCGGAGTGCAATGACTCGGACTCGGACTCAGACTTGGGGGTGCGGACTCGACTACAACACTGCAGCTAATACAGTGTATACGCGCATTACATACATTGTATAAATCGACAAAATGATGACTTACGCGTAAGTCGTCATTTTCCTAAGTCGACACAAATATGCTGGTCCCAAAAGTGTCGACTTATGCAAGTTTTACTGTACTTTCTATTTCATGCAAACAAGTGACAGATCCAGGGGGCAGGAGACACCCCCCCCCCATTTTTGAACAAACACATACATAGAAGTGAGTGGCCTTGTCGGTCTGTGCCCCCCCTTTTTTTTAATCAAAACTGGACTCGGACTCGGACTCGGGCTCGAGTGGTGTGGACTCGGAGTCGGACTCGGGGGGTGCGGACTCGGACTCGGACTCGGGGGGTGCGGACTCGGACTCGGACTCGGTCTCGGGGGTGCGGACTCGACTACAACACTGCCAAGTATCGCCAAAGAACGCGACTGTTTGAGACAAATGCAACCATTCATGAATTTGCCACGCATGTTGCATCATTCCGACTATGACTAAAATCCGCAATGGATCGAACAAGGGAAATTAAACTATCTGCGGTCCTCATGTAAACCAACCGTACATCCGAGAACATGTCATCTACGGTTTAATATTACAAATGGCCCAGACATTTGTGAACATCGTTTTACTTGCTTTGGTGCGTAATTGCCGTGAGAGCCATCGTGCAGCTATTGTACTATTTTTGTAGTATTTTCTAGCGAGTCTTTTCCGTTTCGGGTTTTTCGTGTCGCTCTTCCGTTGAGCATGCGCAGTGTAAACATGGCAGGTAAACAAGCAATAAGCTGCTTGGAAAGTTGATATGCTGTGAGAATTAGCAGATTATACCATGAATTAAGAGATACATTCTAGTTTAGAAGCAGGACAACTGTGAGATAACGTTCACATTTCAAACAAGGCAAGTCAAAGGTGGTAATAGAATAGTTTTATTTGAGATATACAGAGTTATTCATCTAGATCTGCAGAGGTGATAGGTTTTTTGTATGGAAGGGTGTCAGGCTGTATAGACAATCGGTCGCACAGCCTGGTCGGGCTACACATACAGGCATCTACTGATTACGTGACAACTTCAACGCTATGTCCAAAATGCCACAATACAACTGCCATATATTTTAGCTTGCAGTTGCCACTGCTCTTGACCTATGCTCACCTATCAGGGTTCGAAATCCTAACGGGCCCACGGGCACGATGCCCGTATTTTAAGGCTCGGGCCTGACATTTCTAATACCAGCAGGCCTGACGGGCCCGTAGAAAATCCACCCCCAGCATGCAACTAGCAGCATGAACTAGTGATCTCAGCTCCAGATTCAAGAAGAAATGCGTGCGCAGAAAATTTAGAACACCTCACGCACAACTTTAGTTGGCATTCAAGAAACGTGCGTAGGATGTTCGTACGCAGAGGTTCCTGAATCCAGACTAAAGCAGCGTTGGCATATCAAAAATCTATAATAAGTGGGTGGAGCTTACTTTTGGCCAGTGGCAGTGAACCTCACATTGTGTTGGCCAGGGTTGATTTACGTGCACGGGTCGTGCGGCACACTCACTGTTCACCTGCGCTACGTTGTGGAGTAATACGCACATATATTGACATCCCCGTGCATTTCACGTTTGGATGTAAACAATAAAGTATCACAGTTGGTAGTTAACAAACGACCAGTATACTGTTTTAAAACAAGTGCCGCAGTGCGACAAGGCTCATCTGGTGTCTGGTGTTCTGCTGATAAATTAATTTGTGCATAGCAAGACGTCTTATACATAAGTCTTCTTTATTCTTGTTTGACTTTCGTAGCCAATTCGAACAAATATATCAGCTACACTTTCGCATCCACACTTAATCTCTATGGGCTCACTATGTATTCTAATAACAAGAACAATAAATAACAATTTCAAATACAAGTTAATGAATGACATTGACGTTGACATAAAAGATTTCAACAACATATGAGCATGGATCTCCAAGTTTAATTAGAGGGGCGGGGGGGTCTCTCTCCCACCTCCCCTGCCTCCTCACTCACTCCCTTGCCTCTCACTTCCACCCCCTTACCCTCCATCTCCTCCCTCTGCCTTCGACCTCCCTCCCCTGCCTCCCACTCCCATCCCCTTGCACACCATCTTGCACGACCTAATTGTACCCCGTTTCCGCTGCGCATACACACCCGTATCACCGTTTTCCTGTCCCCGTCTCAATTTACTACTCTCTCTCTCTCTTTATCTTAGACTTCTCTCTCTCTTAATTATAAAAAAAATTTAAAACCCAGCGATGATGCCTTTATACTGCCCCTCAATAATACTTGTTTCCTATGCCCTGAGTGTAACAGTCATAGAAATCATAATATATAAGTCTCTAATATTTCTATGGTAAACAGCTTATGTTCGCATAACTGGTAAATGGATACGCACGGCCATAGCTACATGATATATGTTAAGGTTCAAGTGAAAAGTAAATATTATATATTATATGTACTAGTTATTATTTATTCGTTTAACAAAGTTACATGAGAATAAAATCTAATTTAAACTAGGCCTATAGTTGCCGCGAGATGGCGCGTGCAAGTGTAATCAATAATCAAAGATGGCATCGCCCTTCTAGCTCGCTGGGGAGTTCCTGAAATCCTACAGTAGGTACAGGCTAAAATCCAAGTAAGTATATTCAGGCAGGCGATAATTTCGCTCAGCTGTGAGTTAACACGTGCATTGCAGGTTGGCAGGCAACAATTATGATTAGAAGCGTGCCAGCCATGGGCTGCCCGTGTTTTTGCCTCATGCGAGCATTCACTGATTCATCATTCAGCCTTCAGGCCCAGGGGCAGGGTGCTATAGACAGACTGCTTTAGAAAATAATATGATTTAAGGAGCGTAAACCTTGTTCAAAACAAACATTTGCCTTTGCAATTAAACTGTGCAACTGTAGCTCACATTGACACAGGTATGGGCTCTAATATAATGCAAAAGCATTCAGTCCTTTGTTAACAGTCAACAAATCAATGTTTTAACCCTCCTCTTGAGGTCAAAGGTTATCCGACATTACTCTTCGCATGACAGTGGAAAGCATATTTCATTGTCCTTTCAATAAAGCCATAAAAATGCTAGGTCACCGCTGAAACAAACAAGAGCCGCAGAGCGTCTGGGCTCATCTGAGGTCTGTTGCTACGATTATAAACGTAAATTTCAGTCGTGCGTAGTACCACATTTGTAGGCGCAGATATGCAGACACGCAGTTGCGTACACATCATTGTTAGACACGTCCTTCATCAGACCATGTCCTTAGAAAATGTCTAAAATCTGCCTGTGCCATTGACCTTTGACCTGTGCCTCCAATTTCGGCACAGTGATGGCTTTTCCTACCATGATGCTATACACCAACTATCACGAGCCTAGGTTGAGCCGTTTAGATTTGTGCCGCAATTCTGCATTTCCTCCCTATACCTTAAGTTAAGGAGTGAATGTTCCCCCTTTCTTTTACACCTCTTGACCTTTGACCTTTGACCCCCCAGCTTCGACATCCCAACTCGTTTGACGATCCCCCCCAACGACCCGAATATCGTGACTGTACGTCGAGCGGTTAAGATTTGTGCCCAACTGTTGACCGGACGACCGACGGAACGGACGGACGGACGGACGTCAAGCGATTCTACAAGCTGCATTGACAATGTCAGATGAGCTAAAAAGTTTATCAATCGCTCCGTCAGACCATGTCCTCAGAAAAATGTCTAAACTCTGCCCTGTGCCCCATTGACCTTGCCCTGTGACCTCCAATTTCGGCACAGTGATGCTTTTCCTACCATGATGCTATGAACACCGACTATCACGAGCCTAGGTCGAGCCGTTTAGATTTGTGCCGCAATTCTGCATTCCTCCCCCTATACCTTAAGTTAAGGAGGAATGTTCCCCCTTCTTTTACACCTCTTGACCTTTGACCTTTTGACCCCCAGCTTCGACATCCCAACTCGTTTTCAGATTACCCCACATCCAGAATATGTGACCGTACGTCAAGCCGTTTGATTTGTGCCCAAACTGTTGACGCGACGGACGGACGCTCGCACGGACGGACGGACGATCATGCGATTCTACAAGCTGCATCTGACTATGTCAGATGAGCTAATAAAACTATTCTATTACCACCGTTGACTTGCCTTGTTTGAAATATGAACGTTAACTCACAGTTGTCCTGCTTCTAAACTAGAGTGTATCTCTTAATTCACGGTATAATCTGCTAATTCTCACAGCATATCAACTAAATTCCACGATTGTTTACCCGCCATGATTACACTGCGCATGCTCAACAATTGAGACACGGAAAACCCGAAACGGAAATGACTTGCTAGAAAATAGTA